AGCAGAAGGTCCACCTGGAGCCTCAGGAGAGACCCAATTCAGGGACAGGCTAGTCTCTCTATTGCAACGTAGCTCCAAGAGATTGTGAGCCTGCTGCCTTTACCTGGGCTCCAGGTGGCATGTCCCGAGTCCTGAGCTGAGCTAACGAAACGTGTTGAAGAGTGTCTCTGCGATCAGTGGCTGGCTCTCCATCGAGTCCACCTGTCTCAGTCTCACGAGGATGCCTTCCACACAGAGGCCCCATAGGACCGTGGCTTCTGAGAGGAGCTGCAGGGTCAGTGAAACTCCAGGCCAGGGGTCAGTTCAGGTTATGGAAACTGGGCTTTGTTCTGGTTTTGTTTCATGTTGTTTTTTAGGATTTCAAGGGATAATGCATCATTCAGATGCACTTTGAACTTGAGATCCCTCAAAGTTATGGAAAAGCAAACTCAATGTAAAATATAATTGTATTTGCCCTTAACATAATTTTGCACTGCTCCTTTTGATTCACATTTGAAATAAATATATGTTTAAGATTGCTGTGTGGTGATTACTCATGTCTATGCCTTCCATTTTTGGCTTGCCTAGGCATAATCTTCTAACCCTATAATGCCTGGATTTTTAATTTCAGGAAAAAAAATTTGTCTTTATTCTTTACTTTCATAGTTATCAATATACATATTAATATATACATTTAATTAACTGTTATGAAAACATCACGCTCGGCGTTACAGGGCTAAATTAAAATCGTCAACGATGTTCGTCTATGCAAATTTGTTTCTTGTGGAAAAAAATCACTTTTCTTTAGAGATGTGAAGCAATGCATTTCTATAAATGAATTGTGCAGGCATGGCCTGCGTTTGAATAGTAAACCACCACCCGGAACGGCTGTGGGTGGAGAGCTGAGAATGGGAACATCAGTCATTAGAAGCAACCCCGTATGTGGTTCTCATTCCTCATACTAAGATGTATACACACACCCACTACAAATCACCCAAACCACACCCACTACAAATCACCCAAACCACACCCACTACAAATCACCCAAACCCACGGTGGTTTGTGGTAACTTGAATACGCCGTAAGTCAGACACTGCTTACCGTACTTCTCAAAAACAAAGCGGTCAAACCCCCAGAAAAC